TATTATTAAGTCTTTACCCAAAAAACGAGACAGGCCCCAGGAATTTGAGAAAAGCATAATCTGCTTTATTTTTTTTTCCATTTTTTTTATTTAAATAAGGAGAATTCTTTCATATGGAAAGAGCTAATACAATCACATATTTGAAAGGAGAAACAATAGGTACGGAAACGAGGAAAAAAGGGCAATAAAGAGTGTGCCGCAACTGGCCTGGTGATTCCGTGATTCGAGTTCCGGTCCAAGTAAAAGTTTCCAAAAAATATAAACAGGTTGCACGTTACACAATTATCCATCGTCTGCCCTTTCAAATATCTGGTCTACATGAAAAGACAAAGAGAGGAAAGGCCAAAAAAAAATTTGCTATACAGGTCATGAGGTTAAAAGCTTTAAGGAGCACGATATCCCCTTGAGAAACAACAAATGCAATTTATACAGAACCAGAGGAAGGATTCCAGCTAAGGACAATGCCTTAAAGACATGCTAAAGGGTGAGCGCCTCACTGCTGCTGCTGTGATTCCCAGGGGAACGGGCAAGGTTGTGGCTGCAGACATCTTGAGGAGACGGGAAGAGCTACTGAACCCCAAGGGGTGTCTATGGCCACGAGGAAAATCCGATGGGTTTTGGATTAAAACAAACAGCAACAACAAAAAAATTGTTGGACCACTGCCTGTCTCTTCCCAGCCAGCAGTTCCACTGCTTCGGCAAAACGCATCTTTTCTGTCGATGGGCCACAAATAGTTATCCTGATGCCTGCTGTAAATCAATTCTTACTCAAACCGCATCTTTCTTACAAGGAAACTGGGCTGCTGTATGTCCTGCGCTACAGGGAATTAACCTGTGCTTAACTAGTCAGAAGCAAAACAGGAGGTTAACAAAATGCAACAGAACAAGATCTTAGCATGCAGTGGTGCTCGCTGGAGAGTGACGATAATAGCCTGCCAAAAGGTGAGACATAGCAAAAATGCTAGGCTCATTTTTTAATATATATCTATAAATACACAGGAACCACATGGCAGCTTGTAGCTTTGCAGCATTCTTGCGAGGAAACTGTTAAATGGAGTGCCTCTGCATGAACACAAACACGTATGGAGCTCAATGGGCTGCAAACACATTCAGAGCTACTGACAACTGTACATGGCAAAGCCAGGAGCAAATTATGGAAGATCAACAATAATACCTGTTTCACTGGTGACTGTGCTGCTTCCACTTGTCATTTAAAAATACACTGGAGCACCTTTTTTTTTTTCCTCCCTTTTTTTCTTCCTTGACTTTTTTTTTTTTTAAATTTAATTTAATTAAGAGCTAAAAGCAGGCTGAACTGGAGAGGAAAGCAGCACTGAATACAGCTACTAGGACATGAATCACTATGTATAAGAGAATCGATTACACATGTTTCAGACCTTCAGCTGAACAAAAAGCAGCAAAGTCAACCTCTGAATATTTCTGCTTCACCCATTGTTGCTGAAAATATGGATTCCACCTCTCCCTCCCACTGCACGCTGCAACTTTCCTAGCAAAAGGAGCCTGCAATTTGGGTAGCTGATTTCCAGTCAAAGCAAAAGCAACTCACAGAATAAATCATTAGGGCACAACCCTTCAGTGGAGAAGAGGGCAAGCACCATTATCCCCTTATAAACCATATCCATGTTCTATACATCTCCATTCTCCTCTTCCCCAAGCTGAATCTGTTATCAGCATACCAGCAGCCTTGGCATGTCTGCACCTTGAGTATCAGAGACTTTCCTTTTGAGTCAAGAGCACCACAAACTGCACTGACCTTGTCCTAGCTTTAAACAAAAATATATACCAGAGAAGGCAGCTATTGCACTGTAGAAATTTAGGCTCTTAAAACTGCTTTCTGTCATACAAAACTCCTTTAAGTGAAAGAGAGTCTTGCCAACTGCAGCTGACAGTCACGCAAAGGTGAGGAATGGAATGAAGCTCACATGCATTTCTTGGCCTTTCCTGCACAGAATAATTCAGACATAATATATAAATAGAGCAGTGAAACAATTACTTTTTCACCTAGACCTACAACATCAAATACGTATAAATAAATTCTAGTGTTTTATTCTGTTGGGGGAAGGAATGGAGGGGTTAAAAGAGAAAGAAGGGTGACCTTTTTCAACAGGAAGTATTGTAGTTCTGATGGCATTTACACCAGAGGGACTGCAGTAATTTGTATCTTGCAATAAACCAGTTTTCTCCAACACGTTTGACCATTTTAAAGTCATCTAGGTGGGAGGAAAGAGGTTAGTGTCTGCAAAGCTTAAGTAGTGTGTCTAGGGTAGGAAAGAGATGAGAAGAGGGGGGCTCAGATAAGCCTCTTTAGCCATTATAGTTAGATTCTGGGTTGGTATTAGCTAGGGCCAGCTGGGCAGAAAGATAATAATTAAAAAAAAAGGCAAAAAAACAGACAATTCTGTTGTTCATGATATTTCAAGGAAGAAAATAGAAAGGGGGGTGGGATGACTTACTGGTGAAACAATCTTTGGAAAATGTTGGGAGCAGGACTAGCAGATGAGGATGCAGGTCTGGGAGATGTCTGAAGGCTGGGGAAATACTTGTCTCTAAATCTCAAACCCTGTACTTTAAGGATGATGCTAGAGAGATGCTGGCACACTCTGCTCTGAAGTTAAAAAAAAATAATCCATAAAACATGAGGAAAAAAAGAGCTTTTATTTTTCTTAAAGTACCATCCTATCCCTTTCCCTTTGAGTTCTCTGCCATGGTCAATGGGGACACCTGTGGGAGAGGGGACATTACTATGTCTAAGTTAGTCTAGGTTTCTAAGCTCTTTAAAGCTACTGTATAAAATTCTTATTTATACCTAGCTTAAAACTTCAAATGCATCCCTAGAAAGTAATGAAGGATCTTTCCCAGAAAGTGGGGGCGCTGGGGGAGCAAACGAAGAAACAAGAACACCTTTCAGATCCCTTCCCAAATACATTCTTTGTTCAAAATATCTTCTTTGGAACCACCAACAGTGACTTGCTGCCACCTAGCACAGGCAGACAGCACAGCCAGTTAGCAAGCTATCATCTGCAAAAATTAAATGTTCTTTCCCTTACTTCAGAGTGACCAGCCTACTTTACATTTTGAAAAAGCTAAACAACACAAACCAAGTTAGCCAAAAGTAGTTGAGTTTAACTAAGACTACTGTCAGCTGAAGGACTCCAAGCACTTTCAGGAACTTGGAAGTCCATCCTAAAATCTACATACACACGCGCGCACACACACACACACACACACACACAAACCAAAACCTAACAACCAAAGAAATAAAAACCCAACCCCCTCCCACTGGGACCTTCCTTTCATAGATCATCAAATACTGGTCAGGAAGTGTGAGGTGACGACAATGTATACACACTATATGCAACTGCATCTCAAGTGAAGAACCCTTTGCTGTTCATCTGGGGAAGGAGAGTAAAAGGATGCTTCTAACCTGTAATCTCTGTAATCATGCGCTTCCAACACAAAAAAGGAGGTTCCAAGTGTGCTAAAATGGCTGCCTTGCAGAGGGGCTGCCTTACCAATGCGTTTCTATGCGAATTTTACAAAAGGCCGTGAGTTAGAGGAACAGAAAGCAAGACCTAGGGAAAAGGGAGAAGAGCAAAGTTTAGGAGAGCAGCCCCAAGGGATGAACACAATAAAGAACAAGTGTCAGGAGACACGAAGAATTAGAGCAGCCAAGGTAGGGAGCATAAGAGAGCGTCACAACTACAAAAAGTAGTCCATACAGACCCGTTGGCTCTAGCCAACTCATCCGACCCATGTGCGGTGAGGAGATTTTTCTTAACAGATTTTACATTTCATAAATCTATGATTTACATTTTGTTGTGTGTTTGGCAGTCACTAAAAAATCCAAACCCACAAAAAAAACTCAAAACCTAGACCCAGATGAGCTTGCAACAGAAATTTGGTGTTTTGTTTTTTTTTTTCCTTAAAACGAAAATGCAACATCTTGTTGTGCACAAGGCACCCCAAATCTACAATTAAAATGGTGCAAGTTTCAAGAGTACTGCACTGATCTACTACATACCTTTAGTACACATTTACTTCTAATGCAAGCATTGCTTCTAGCTTAAAACGAAGAAATTAATGAATGCCATAACTGTCCTGTTTTTTTAATCAAACAATCTGAAAGGCTAAATCATCTGGGGAAAATATACCCAAACTCACTCAATTTTAGAAGTCACGATTCTCAACATAGGACAGAACCGTATATAAAACTACGGAGAGTTTTGTCAGAACATAATTTCAGCTGAAGGGAATTCTTTTCTGGAAGGAATGAGGAAAGCAGAAAGAAGGGCAGGGGGGAAATGAGAGAACATATAAAAGTTCTGCTATAAACAAAGATATAGCTTTTTTTTTTTTTTTGTAAAAACCTCAGCTGCCTTTAAAATGAAAAACCTCAAACTAAACCCTCTCCCCCAGTTGCCACTCTGCTGAGACAGAAGTAGGGAAGGAGAAGGATGGGCTTTGCCAAGTGAACAATCACAGCTACCTGTGGATGGGGCATGGAGCGGGAAAAACAAAAAAATAAATGGCTCAAGCCACTTAAGTCACATGGTTGGTTTGTTTTAAAGCAAGCAGGTCAATGTCATATTCACTGTTTCAAACTGCTTTGTGGGGAGAGGGGCTTGGATGATGTCACTGTAGTCAGTCAATGTGGGGCAGGGAGTAAATCCGGTGAGATTTTCAAGAGATCCAGTAGGGTCCAGTCTGAGCTGCAGTGCCGCTCAGGCAGCGGGACCAGGCGGGCAGAGGTGCTCCTAGGCCTTGCTTTCCTCCACTTTGACTGCCTGAGGTTTGATCGCTCCCGTGCGCACTGGCTTCATCTGGTTTGCGGAGGCCGCTTCTTGCAGCTTTACTGCTCCCAGGTTGGCTTTGTTTTCATCCACCCGCTGCTTTGCCTTTTTACATACAAAAACCAAAGCATTAGCTTAGCAGAGACCTCTAGGCAGATATAAAAAACCCCAAACTGTCACCATCATTCATACAAGACATCAAATTTGCTCCAGTCAGGTATTTCTTCTATTCTTTAACACTTTGCTGTCTTAAAACACCTCACATTGAGGATCTCCAAGTGTCTCACATGTCTGGCAATGCAAATAACCCATAAAAACTCAACAAAAAAAAATAACATGGACACTGTGATAGAGGTCATCCTCTAAGCTCTCCTGACTTTCAAATCACACAGCGTTACTCTTGGACTCAGTGTAACACCCACCCACTCTCCCTACAGGGAAAATGACAGCTCCCACATACAGCTTCAGTACACAGGCCTTTCTGCCTCTCCTCTTAAGTCCAAGGCACAGGCATGACAGCACAGAAGAGCAGACATTGTTGGGTCAAACAAGGTACTGATGTGCACTACCTGTTGTACATAGTGTCCTTGCACAGAGCCCATACTAACTGCTGGTCCAGACGGCTTCCCGCTTGGGCTGGCAGAGCTAGGCCTGGAAATCGAAGAGTCGACAATATTCATGGAGTAAATTCTACAATGGAATGAGAACCTTATTCATGTGTGAAAGAAAAAAAAAAGACAGCAGAAAGCAGCAGTAGACAGGGCATGAGTCTGTGCTGTACAGATCAGTGAGCTCCCCAGCCCAAAAGACAACCCATGGATTAGTTAAGAGAAAAAAATAAAGCAACTGCAGGTCCCAAAAGGCTGAATGAGCTCAAGGTTTGGTGGTATGTCTAGACACGAACACCTCTCATCTTGAGAGGATCGTGCTGCAAACTAAAACATTTATTCAGTGATCCTCAAATCTTTCACTTCAACAAGGAACAAACAGAAGCACACACCAATTCCAATTTGTCTTTAAGAGTCAGTAAACAAAAAAACTTTATGCACTTCCCACAAGCACAAAGGGCCAAGTCAGATACACGCTGGCCCCACACCCAAAAATGAAAGCCATGATCATGCATTTTGATACCAGTACCTGGACTACAGTAAGCACATTCCATATGCAAAAAACCCAAGTGAATCTTGTACAGGAATGATGCATGCACCATGTCACTGCAAAGGGGGAAAACTACTTCTTCCCCATTCTGACTAGGGAGGCAAAGTTCTGTAAATATTTTACCTGTACGTGTGTGGTGATGGTACAGACCCTCCGGAGGACATATTCTGTTTACCATCAGAGAAATGAAATCCTTTCATTTCCATTTGGGAGGACTACAGAGGAAAAAGAGTGAGAGTATCATCTTTGCATTCACAAATCACTCATTACTTCATATAAACACTTAAGCCAAATCTTTGCCCTTCTACCCATCGTGCCCATTAAAAGAAGAAACATTTTTCAGGTGAAGAAAGTGAGGCTTGTATGTGAAATAATCTGCTTGTATTAAACCAACAAGCCAGCAGCACAAGCAAATACAGAACTGGAAGTTAACCGCTGTGCTCTCTCTCCCCTATAATAGACAAACTTATGATACGAATCCATCAAACCAGACATGACATTAATATACCTACTCAAATGGACAAGCTTCACAACAGTGTGAAATATCTGGGCAGTATTCCAACTGTGTCTGGAGCTCACCACCCCTCAAGCACTCTGGGGAAACCTGTGTAAACATGTAATAAAACTGGAGACTCCAAACTGGATCAAGGCACGATGTGGCTCCCTGGAAACAGAATGATTACCAGCAACAAAACCTGAAAAACTCCTGGCCTGTGCTTTGGTGATGAGGGGAAAAAAAGGGCTCCTTCATTTTAACACCAGTCCTCGGCTTTGATATTTAAGGATCCCAAACAAGTCAGTCTCCCTTTTAACAAGTAAGATCAAGGAGCAAAACTTCATTGCAGAAGGGGTTAATGAATGCCAAGATGAGCATGCAGGACTTAATCCTTACCTCCCTGCTGGTAGCGAGAACAGAAGGCTGGGATCCAGGAGGGAGGATTCTTCGGGGAGCTCCTACAGGCAGGTTTTGGCCCTGAGGAAGCTGGATGGACTGTGGTAGAATCAGGGGCTGCTGGCCAGAGCCGTAGCGGGGCAGAGGAAGCTGGGAGCCAGGCACAGGCATTGTTAGCTGTGTGATAAGGACACGCAGTTAATTCAACGGTGGTAACAGTCTTGTGTTTGACACGCTGTCTCTTAATACCCTGAAAACACAGCACTGCTAAAAGGAAGCTCACAAACAGTGCAGTCTGGCACAGAATAAATGCAAATCAATGTAACAGAGGGACCTTCACACCAAAACACGTGTTCTGGTAGCAATGCCAACACTCTTGTCAGCTGGGCTTTTAACATGGCATCGATTTAACATAACTGCACACAGACATGGGCCTTTCCTCCTTGCATAGAGCCTTCAGCCAGTTTTTCAGTCTTCCTCATGCTCACTGCATATGTGTCTTTTCTCTTGATACGATGGCAGCGTCACACAGCTCATTGTCAGGAGTTTCGTTTGCAGCTTTGATGCCCAAACCAGAAAGTCTGCCACACCTTCATACCAAAGCATTTTGAGGACCGGACCTCCAGAGAAAGTGGTGGTGACCTCAGCTCTATGTTCTGCATTAAGCTTCAAACTGATGATGGTAATTAATCAAGAGTAATTTAAAAAAAAAAAAAACAAACCCAAAACCGAAACAAACCTAAGAAAACAGCTCAGGACTCAAGAGCCTCCTATTACCTCCAATGCATCTGGCAGTTCTCACAATTGCTGTATTTGGGAGGTTCTATGACAACAATTTATAATAAATAAATAAATAAATAAGTAAATAAATCTAAGGTTGGCAAAAGAGACCAAGTTACTAGCTTGGATAAAGCATTTCTTCAAATATTTAGTTAGTCAGAATTTTCTGTATTTTCCTCAGCTAAGTTTCTTTCAGGATTAACTCTTTATGCCAGTCACAACATAAAAATCCCTCTTTAAACAAAAAATAAACCTTAATATGTGGCACAAAATTAAGATGAGTGATAAAAGTATCAAACATTTCCAGAGAAACTGAACACATGACCACAAATACAGCTACACTCACAGTAGGATTCAATGTCTTTATCCAAACTATGTTTTACAAAAACTATTTTCACAGAATGAAATTCTTGTTAATATGCTGCCAAACAGATCAGCAGAAGTTGCAAATAATACCTGGATAACAAATGAATTGAGAAGACAGATGAGCTTTTAATAAAAGGTCCTAGTTCCCCTGGAAGTTGTGTTAAATCTGGAGAAGACTGGGATTTGGCTCTTGGCAGAGGTACTTTTAGAGCAACTATTGCATCATGGCCTCCTATGCATGAAGCACTGCAAGGTTTGATCTGCATGAAATGTCTATGTCGAGGGTGAGGACATCCCAAGTTACAAAATGACATCTCAGCAGGGACAGACAAGCAATTAGCAACGATCTCATTAATAAGGTGCTGGATGTTTGAAACAATGGTTCACAGAACAGTCTCTTGGGGAAATCTTTTGCCTCTTCACAGAGCTTAGTCCACATAAACAAATGACTTGGCACAAATACTAGTTTCAACGCAGTCTGAGAAACAAGTGGCTACAAAAAAGCCTGTACAAGGGAGTGGTTTGCAAGTCCTGCTCCTAACTAACCTGTGTAAGCTGAGAGTCCATCATCTGGGAGGCTCCCATACCAGCCGCCTGGTTTATCTGGCCTTCGTAAACCAGTGTCTGGCTTCCATTCATGGGCTGATAGGGGGACCCAGACTGAGTTTTCACCACCTCCAAGGGCTGCATGCCTGGGAAGGCAGAATATGGAGGCTTCAGAGCAGTGCCTCCTGTCAGGACCATGGTGCTGGGTTGAGACAGACTGGGGTGCATGTACACCTGAGACCTGGAGAAGAAAAATATAACCAAGTCATTACACAGAAAACCTTTAGAAACTATACACACATCCCCCGTGTGTCAAACCGTATCTCGTCTGCCAGCAGTTCTCAGAATAAAAAATTAACAGCTTAGAAATAAGCTGCCACTTCCCATTTTAGTTACCGGGTTTTTTACTTCCACTTTTAAGCCCTTACAACAGTGTCCTTGTGTTGCAGGAATATATTCAACAGAATGCCTATCCAAAGTTTATGTATCGATATCCTGCACAATAAACTCTGCATTAGTAATAATAAGGGAGGATTCAGGTTACCAGAAGTCTGCAGCAGTTTTGCAAAGCAGAAAAGAATCAGAAGTTACAGATTCAAAGAGGAAAAGAAAAAAAGGTCTGTTTTTGTTTTTTTTTTTTAAACCTCAGTGTCTAGGTTTCTGAGGCCCTGAAGGACACCTGGAACATAAGAGTTCAGACCACAAGGAAATGAAAAACTAGAAGCAGTTACCTGAAGGGCTGTATGGAGCTGTACATCTCTTGGGACTGGGAAACAGGCAGACCACCCCTCAAGCCAAGCTGAGCTTGGGCCTGTAAGGATGTGTGGAGGGAAATGGGAATCTGCTGAGCAGCAGCAGCCTGCAGAAGAAATTAAGATGACTGAGAAAAATCCATCAGTTTCCTCCATGAGTCAATCTGTCACGAAAGTTACCTACACTGCACCTTCACCCAGCCCCTGCACCATTCCACAGAACAGCAGCACGCCGGCACGGAAGACACTGCAGAGGCAGCCAAGAGGGAAGACGAGTGCCTGCAAGAGGCATTTGATGGACACGAGGGGATCAATGTTCTCTGGATACAGAACAGGCACTGACGATCTCAGCTCTCATTTGCCTGCACTCTTCCCTTGAAGGGACTCTCCCCAACCCTATCAACACCCTATTTACCAAGATTAGTGAAATCACTCATCAGCATGGACTAGCTGGAGAATTTACTTAAAGTCACTTCACCTCACACAGAGGCCTCAGCATCTGCTTCAGTTAAACCCTGTCCAAAGGCACTGGTACAAAAGGGGAAAAACCTCTCAATTCCCTCCCTTCAATATCTGTGACACCCACTGGGAAGCAGCATTCAAGGAAATTAAAGAGAGCCACATCTAAGCTCCTTTGGGCTATCAGAGAGATAAATGACTCCTTGTTTCTTAAATGCCACCCTGAAGACTTCTTAAGAAACCAGTAGCTAGTTGTATTTCTCCCTCACCTGTTGGTAGCTTTGCTGCTGAGGTATCGTCTGAGGGACCAGGCGGGGCTGACTTGCAAACACATGGCCATCCAGATACAGGGGTGGAATATGATTACCTAAACATCAGAGAAGGCAGGCTGTAAATTCAAGGTACAGGGGAGATACAGACACAGTACACTACAGAGATCTGCAGGTCAAGACTATTTCCTACCTCTCAGGAAGTCAACACAAACATAGTACCCATTCAGAGGAGCCTGTAAAGCTCCTAAGTACACATACGAAAGCCAGCAGCCCACTTACAGTAGCAGGCTTGCTGAGAATTAATCATACCTTTCTGTAAGAGGCTAAATGTAAATCCAGGTTTATCACCTCCACAAAAAAGTCAGACACACTAACAGTTCAGAAATTACCAAGTTGTACTCCAAACTGTTCCTAAATGCCAGAAACCTGCTCTGCAATCATCTCATCTTTGCAGCTAGGAGGGACAGAAAGAGCAAGCATGGTGTTTGAGACCTTCACACAGGAGATCTAAAACCCATATTCACCCCAAGGGTGGCACCAATTAGAAAATGCTGTGCCTCTCCTGTGGTTCTGTGCAGGTCTGAGCCACAGGATTTACAAGCAAAATTAGGGTGGGTGGGGAAGGAAGTCACCTGACTTGGAACAATCTATTTTCCAAGTCAAGCTAATAACAGAGTCATTACAGTGGTCCACTTGTTACCACTTCTGTCCAGCATATTCCACTCCATTCTTGAATTGAGGAACGAGAAAGATAGTGCATACATGAGAGGTCCTTTGGGACCCAGCAGAGAATCCAAATACATTTCCTTTTCCCAGATGCTCTCTCTAATTATACACACTATCTAACATGACTGAGCTTAAGCTTTTCCTCTTAACTCAAATACAGCAACACCATCCCACCTCCCAGAGCTCTGCAAACTGTAAGGAACTTGTTGTTAAGTACAAAGAGCAGAAGATGCTCAGAACCCGTGACGTAAATAGCCAAATGAGCAGAGGAATGGCTGGTACTGATACTGGGACTGCTGAGTCTCTCAGCCATAGGTTTCTTCACTTCCCTTATGTTCTATTGAGCACACGGTGAAGGGTAAGCAGGATCTATTGGGACATCACAGAGACTTGCCACTATACAGGGAAATTCGTCCTTGTGCCAAGTTTATACCAGTCCCATTCAAGTAACATTCTTCAAAGTGGGCAGACGGTCCCTCTTCCTGTCTTGATTGAATTGTTAAGCATCTGTTAAATACCAGCCAGCTGGTTACTTTACATGGAAGCTCTTCTCACCATGCTCTCCTCTGCTAGAATCAGAGGATGATTCCTAGATACCAACCAGACAGTGCAAATACTGCTGTTGCAGTTTGCAGGTACCTGGAATAGATGCAGAAGGTGCTACGGACGCCACAGGCATAGGAGGCATAGAAACTCCACCAAAAGAGCTGTAGCTGACACCGTTGGAAGCTCCAACACTGGAAGGAGGCTGGATGCCTGAGCCTGCGCCTCCTGGGGAGTTCTGTTCTGGTAAACTAGGAGAGTTTTCCCAAGCTTTACGAGCAGACTCCATCTATGGAAATGAAGGACAATAACTGCAGACAGTTCAAATGGGGAGGACAATACTGAAGCCTAGAGTTGCTCATCTGTGACCTATTACTTCAAATTCAATCTAATCTAGTCATAGTGGAAAGCTGCCAGGTCTCAAGTCAAGTTTTACACTAATTCCCAGTGGGCAAGCGTCCTTCACAAACACTCAATTCCCCTTGGCATTTGCTGAGCTTTCTGGGTTTGGGGTGGTGGTGGGTTTTGTTTTGTTTTATTTTGGGTTTTGTTGTTGTTTGTCTGTTTGTTTTTTGGTTTTTGTTTTTTCTTCTTTAAACCATCAGGCACCTAGGATCCATGACCAGCCATCTCATCCAGCTACTGAAATAGTAGGAAAACTCTGCTGCACTCGCTCTACAATTGGCAAGGACTTCAACATCCAGGACTGTTGAAACACACGCCCTTCCACCTATGCTGAATAGCAAACATGCACAACTTTTACAGAAACTAATTAAAGATTCAGCAGTACCTAACAAAATGCCCTGAGAAAGATCTCTCCATCCTCACTACTCTGGACATGGAAACATGGTATCCACACACATGCCAGCTTGCTTACCTTAAGAGTAAGGTCTGCAGTGGGGAAGGACATTGGGTTGAGGCCAATGCACCGCTGGAGGTGATGATCTCTTCGCAGAATGGGAATGGACTGCGTTAACCCTGCCTGAGGGGAGATTCGTAAAGGGTTAATACTTTATAAACTCTTATGAGAATGTCATGAGCTACCAACACTGACAGAGTTCTCAGCTGGCAGCTCCAGTAACTAACTACATCTCAAAGGATTCAATCCTCAGTGGTACTGCAGGAGTTAAGGACCACAATTCAATGGTGATCCATTCTGCCACTGGAATAAACGAAGCTTCAGTGATATGCAATGACACCCTCTATGTGTCATCACACAGACACTTAAACATCCATTTGACCCAGTGACTTCAATTTGCAGAAGAGTTCCCCCTCCTGCCCTGTATTTGGAATCTACTTAAATTTCAGACAAAGCCTGTTTCTGAAAAGAAATATCCTTTAAGACAAACCTCCAAAATCAGTCTACAAACTTGAAGACATTTTAAAATAAAAATAATAAAAAAAAAGCTTTTTGAGTTTCTCACACTGCTGTCTACAGCTGAGCTACAAGCTGGGCTTTCAGCGCGCTCACTCTTTCACATAAAATAATGAAATACCCAGATGGCCGGCTTAAGATAGGAAACCTCCAAAAGGGCCTGACTAACAAGTGACAGTTTTCTGACGTGCTCTGGCAGATGAGATTTTCTGAGGAAGCTGGCAATCCAGGCCTAAAAATGCCACTATCATGGCCACTTCCAGCATTCTTTCTGTGTCTCACGGGAGGAGATGTGCAACACCTCTTGCTTTACACAGGTCACTCAATGATAATGGAGTTGCTCCCTATATAGTTTCTGAGATAAGGATGCTCATTTTATTAAGGTACCTTGAGGCCACAGAGTTCCATTATGGATTTTAGCCACATGAGTGGCCTAAGCATAAAGTGTGAACTCAACTGCAAACAAATACACTTGCTTTCTTTGGAAGCATCTACGGTTTAACTAAGGAGTATCTCCAATGAATCAATCCCAAAAGAAAAAAGAAATACTTACATTAGTGGCCAAGGCATCCTGCAATTTGGCGACAGGGTTAGCTGCAGTGCCAGAGGCAGAACCAGGTGGCAAGCTGAAGTCAGAGTCCTGAAAAACCAAAACACACAAAATTCAAATCCAGGTCCAAGAGCCACCCATCTGCTTCTCATGGTTAGCATGAAGAAGCTTTAGCCTGAATCATGACACTAGAAACTAAAGACTGTCTTCCAGTAAGCCTTACTGGAAGATAACAAAAAGAAGCTTCTCAGCACTCAGCAGCAGGCAACCCCCAGAGGCACACAAAGGCTTAGATGGCCATAATTTTGTCCCTCACCTCTGTTACCACCCCAGCTGGTCCTTGGGACAGTATTTCCAAGAGGATATTGCATGTTTGCCAAGACATCCTGAGTACCTGGCTTGTGTCAGTAATGAAATCTAAGGCAAATCTACAGCTGGAAGCTTCCTCTAAAATAACCCTTCTGCCTCAAACCACCTTTCATATCTCAACAAGCTCAAATCACCAAGAAGATAAAATTAAATTCAATCCTCACTTTAGGATTTACTCCAAATTCAATGGGTGGCACAGGAAGTACAGAATCCACGTGAATTTCCACCCCGTTAACAGGGGGAATATTCCCTTCCAGCCGTTCCGTTCCCTCCGAACCCTTTCTGTTTTTCAGGGAGCGTTCGTTGCCGATTGGTCCAGGCTTGTGTTCCTTGTTCTGTCCTGAGCCTTGATCTGAATCCTTAACAGGAAAGCAGAGAGGCTGAGACACAAAGACTGAATAACCCAATCTCAAGCCTTAAAAACGCTACAAGAACAACACAACCACTTCACAAGGTCTCTCACTATACGCTCTGGCTTGGCTGCAAATCCAGATTACCTTTTTATCAGTTTGCTTCTGCACTTGCTCCTTCTGGCAGTCAGGCTTTGGGTCCACCAGGCCAGCCCCATTCATCTCCTCTGGTTTGAGGGTGCCATATGGAGAACTGCGCTGAGAGGAGGTAGCGGAGGATTCCCGAGACTCCGCGCTCAAGTCAATGCCACTATCCCCCTGGCTGCCTTTAAAACCCTGCTATGCAAAGCACGAAATGTGTTAAAGCCCCGGACTCCGACCCAGCTCCACAAAGGAGGAAAGAAAATCCCAGAAAACAGCAAGACCATGTTCTCCTTTTCAAATCACGTTCTTGGTTAAGTGCAAAGGAGCTGGGCCTGACCTGCAGCATCCCTTGGCTGCTGCTTCAGCTTTACGCAACCCTGGGACAGCTTAACCAATGCACCAACCGGACCATGGCTTTAGAATAAAGAAAGTGTCCCACACAGCAACTAGGCTGAGATTGCCAAACTCATTTTACTTGTGACCCAAACCAGATATGAACTCTGGTCTCCAGAGGTGAAGCATTCGGGAACCTCCTCCGCCCTCCCTGCATTAAGGCTACAGCTACACACTGCTCATAGGTATGAGGCACTCAAGCATCACCTACGAGATTCTATCATCCTTGACCACACTCTGCATCCAGTAAGGAGCATAACCCTGGAATAGCTCTACTGGTTACTCCAGATTTATACTCGCAGGTAACACCAAGCAGTGCCTGGCCCTCTAGGTCAAGATTTGAGCAGCTTTAAGTTCAAATCAGAACTGCAAAGAGACAGTTTAAAATTGCACAAGCAGAGCCGAGACTCACTAAGCACAGATGGAGCAATGAGAAGCATAAGCCACCTACGTTAATATTTTATACACACAATACCTGCATGGCACATTAAATGCCACTTACCTCAGTGGTGCTAGATTCAGTACCATTAAAGGTATTTACAGGTTTGCTCCAGGAATCACTGCCAGGAGACTGAACGGAAAGAGCTGGAAGAGAACGGAAGGCGGCGTTCAGCTGCTTGAAACACAACTGTGAACACACCTTGTATAACATGCAGGTTACACTATTAACTTTCCATTTCTAGATATGAGGTAGGATATTTTCACCACCTCAGAAAGCTAGCGCTGCCTATTCAGCTGAGATATGACACAGCATAGAGAAGACAGGGCATGGAGAGCAAGGGAAGAGATTTCTCAGGGAACATGGAAACAAGAGGAGAAAGAGCAGGGACAGAAACAAGGGAGGCACTTGCTATTCGGGGCTAGACAATGAGAAAACAGAGGAAGGCAAAGTAAGAAAATGGCTGAAACAGATCCAGCCCCACAGGCTATAAAATGCTATGTAGGATCTCGATGTTACAAAAAGACCCAAGAAATAGATTATGAGACTGATGACATGGTCAATGACAGGAAAAGGATGGTTGAATAACACAGCTTTGAACACATACTACTCTAGATGTCTGCTAGCTCCCCTCCCACTTCCAGCACCAGACAAGAGAAGGTTTTCTCCTCTTAAGCACAGATGCTCTGTCCTTCCTGCACACACCAGAGGTTTCCCCAGCTGCGCTAAACACTCCAAAACAGACAGACCCAAACTTACCTGGGCTGTTGCTCTCCCAGATGTCTGTGCCCAGGCTGTTTCCAGACACTGTTACATCACTTTGCTCCAAGCACAAGCCATTCTGCTTCTTAGCAAATCGAGGAGGAATGCGAGACTGAAGGACACGGGCCTTAGCTGGTGCCTGAGGGAGGAAAGGCACAGGCCATAAGACCTCTCACTGCACTGGGCTAACACAGCCTGCTCCTGGCAAGTTCAAACCCCAGATTTCTAAATGCTGCCATGTGAAAAGCCCCCAACTCATGTAACAGAACAATACAAAGTAGTTCTGACTCTCCTCCCCGTCCTTTTTTTTTCCTCCAATGGATCCTGTACTTACTGGGAGATTCCTTCAGTCTAATAGGACAGTGAAAGAAGCTGCCTTCAGCAGCATGAGATTTTTTTCTTTTGGGGATACAAAGCAAAGCAAAATTAACAATGCAACAGATTTGCTCTGCTCAATTCCTCTCCTTTACTCCAGCTAAAGCAAGGTCAACTAATAATTTCACAGTACAGAGATGGCTCTTTCACAGAGCCAAGATCTGAAGAGAAAGAGAAGCACATCTCTGCAATTGCAAGACTTTTCCCACTGCACATTCACATGTTGTCTTCAGCTTAATTTTAAAGATGCCAAGCAACCAGGCTTTTATAACTTTGCTTGGGAGACTCCCTGAAGCTATCACAAGCTCCTCCTTGTCACGAAATATTTCCCAATGATGCTTTTGTTTTGCATTTAGTCCTCCACATTTTACTAAGCCTCCTTCCATGTCAAAATATTCTCTCATCCCCCTAGAATTTGCAGTCTTCTAGTACATGTAGACAAACATCCCCCCTCCTAAACACTACTTAAGTGCAGTCTTAAATCTTTCCTTGTAAATCAATTCCTTTATCCTATTATGAACAAAAAATGGTCAAGAGTTTTTTCCAGTTTATTTCTTGTCAGGTGCCCAGACACAAAAATGACACCTCTGGCAGGAAGATACCACATCCTGCTCTAGCAATAACACATCGTTGACACAGTAAGAGTGCAGAGGTCCTCCACTGCTCACTGCTGCCACTGGGCTTAGCAACTCGCTTAGTAAGGCAAGTTGCTTTGGATGAGGATCACTTCAGAAAACCCTCCTTAACTCAGAATTAACAATTCCAATAGAAAACAAGAGCAGTCAGAAATCTAACCATCCTTTTCAGAACAATGGCCCCTGCCCATGAGAGCCAAAATATGTTTCCTGGGTCTAATACATGATCTGTACTACTTTGGTGAGCTGCACGTTTTTTCTGCTTATCCAAACACTTTCTGGGGCCCTGTCCCACTAACTGCAGTCCAAACAATGTATCAGGTTAAGCTTTTTCTGCCTCCCACTCCTCACCTGAGCAGCCTGTTCCTTCTTCCTTCGCTCCTCTTCCAGCAAACGACGTTGCTTTTTAGTAAGAACCTCAATGAAGCCTTCACCTGCTATAGAACTCACTTCATTCTCTTCTGCTGTGTTCGACACCCGATTATCAATGATGGTACCTGAACAAAGCATATACAGGGGAAAAAATATTGCATGTGTATATGTATATAAAGCTTCATAATTGTAGTAATTTGAAGAGTGCATTCCAAAACAAGTTCAGCCAGCAGCACCGCAGCTAAGCTTTGAAAACTAAGCCATGGTAGCCTGTTAACTTCTACCAGTCACTTTGTCCTGCAGGGCTTTGCTCTCCTCTGCCTCGAGATGAGCACAGTCCAGCTGGGAGAGCTTGGGAACATGAGCCATGTGGTAACTTGGGTAACTTTAGGTGGAGTATCAGTTGAAGCAAACCTTTACAAATATTAGCAAGGACAAAGCAGGTACAGGTGCTTTTGAAAACACACCCATCACCTCTGAACGTAAAACCTCATTTCTACGAAAGGCAAAATGCTGAGTCATGGCCAAATACCCATGGTTTCAGAGATACTAATTTCTTGCCTCCTTGCCATGAGCTCAGATTCAACTTCTGCACTCTGGCTGCTCTTTCAATTTCCTACTTAAGGTATTTTGGCTTGAAATTTAATACCTTAGATAGAAATATGGAAAAGGCTCATTTCTCCCTAAAATCAAACTTTCTATAGAAGAAACTTTAGAGAGGCTGTCAGATCTGGCTGAAAGTTTGGGTATAAAATTTAAAACCATCTTTGTCTTCCATGTTTTCTCTATTCAGACACACTGAAATTTGTTTGTGTAAATAAATGGAAAGTAATCCAACCTGATATTTAACATTACACAGGATTGAATCAGCCTGGCTTCAAGTCAGCCACAATGTGTTACCCCTTTAAAGAAACAAATTAATTAAGACACTCACTTCCATAACTCAGTTCAAACTGTGACAAGGCCTCTCCCTTCTCATTTGCTCTCTGCGCAGTGGATTTGGGCTCCTTCTCCATCTTTTTACCTGGCCCCTCAGCACTTTCCGAGTTGGCATGGGAAGCCCTGTCCAAGCTGTAAATGGAGTGGCTGCTCCCACCACTGGTGTTGCCAATGCCCCCTCCTTCTTCTGGAGACCTACAAGGAAAGAAGGGAAAGGAATCAGATTTGTCAATAGAAGATGAGTAGAAGTAGCAAGAAGAAAACATATGGGCTACATTTTCTTTACCAGTGTTCCAATCACTCCTCATCCTTCCCCAGCATTTGCTCAACTGAAGCAGATGTTAAAATTCTGAGCACACAGCCCATTACAAGGATGTTACTGGGGAAGTGGGATGGAAACAGAACAATACCTGTGCTCATCAGTCAACCAACACACTGCCCTGTGGCAACAAAACCAATACCCTAGCTCCCCATGGTGAGGTCTCTATGCTTCTGTACAGTGTCTCTTACTCTCCTATGACACTGCTCTAACAGCTCCCCTGCTCCTCTTGGCAATTAACGCACACTTCTTGGCAAGCATCAGGTGATGGGAAGGGAGATGGGGAGAAACTGATGACATTAAGAAAAAAAAAAACAAACATAACTTTTCCATTTTGTTTCTCATAGAATTTTTTGGCCCATTTGACCACCATCCACACATCATTCCCAAGCATTCACCTCACAAAAGAGGCATGGTTAAAGGAGAAAGGGAAAAAAAAACCTTACCCCTTCCCCTTACTTTCCCTTCCTACCTGCCTGCATCTTTCCAGACATCAGTTCTCTCCCTTACTTCCATATAAACTACTATTAGTTACTACATCCAGGAGTTGGGGGAGATGGGTCACAAGAGAACAGAAAACAAAGAACAAGTTGCCTATTTGGATACCAAAAGGTTGGATAAACTGTGCTAGAAGTCACCTTCACTAGATGGAAATAAACACAGCCAACAGCTCCTCACCCCCAGCCCAGCCCTTCTCCATTCCTCCAATATCTGCATAACAGATCTCTGTACATCAGAATGCAACTTTACCTTTTGCTTTTTATCAGCGCCCCATTCTGCTGGCTCTCGTATCTGGAAGCTGCTCCTACTCCAGTCCTGACAGACTGCTCTGCAAATCCTGCTGGCTCGGCCTTGCGGCTCTGCCTGTCGACAAGTGGCCTTTGGCTGGAGAAGCTCCTCTTTGCTAGCTCCCTCTTCTCTCCCAAGCTCCCACTCCCGAGGCCACCCTCCAGCTGGCCTTCACCCTCTGAAACACCATCTCGCCTCTCCCGTCGCTCGCTGAAGTCGCTGCTTTCAGATGCTGTCTCCCACTCCTCGTTGGCGTGGTCTGATGAGTTCTGGTAGGACAGCTCAGGAGACCGTCTGCCTGAGATGTTGCTCTTCTCCGTGGTGGTCAGCTTAGGTCTTCCAGGCCACTGGCTGGGCAGCAGGCTGGGGCCTCCCTCCTCGGAGTTCCACTGGCCAACTGATTCCCTCTCTTGTCTGAGGCGCCTGAATCGTGGGGGCTTGTCTTGGCGGGGGGGACGCCGTCTCCTGAACGGCCTGTTCTCTATGTTCTCCTGATCTGCTGAGTAATCTTCCTGGAAAAAGTGCCTCTTGTCATCCAGGTGACTCTCATCAAAAACCCGGCTGGAGAAGGAATCCACGTGTTTGTAAGAATCCTGAATGTAGTCCCTGTCAGACTGCTGCCTGCTCCCAAAAGTGTCTGATGGAGAGGTGTGGCTGTACTCCTGCCACCCTGCTCCTCCACTCCTGCCTTGCCACTGGGTGGGCTCCTTACCCATGAAACCCCTTCGCCCATAGCCAGAGTTGCTCAGTCTTGGCGGTAGTGACCTCCCAAAAGCTCTTGGAGCCCTCATCTTAGGATCCAGACTAGTGTGATCATCTGAATAGATTTTGTTGGACCTCCAAGACTCTTTGAAGTCTCCCTTTTTCAAATCACTGTCCTCTCTGTCCAGCACAGAGCCTTCATTGCTGTTTTCCGAGCCCCTCTGTCGGCGACGCTTGGGGAGCTCCTCGTATTCCGACCCTTCACTGTGCGTCTCACTTGCAATGCGGCGCCTTGGCTTGCCTCTGGGGAAGTCCTCTGGCTGGTTGAACTCCCGAAGCCCTCGCCCTCGGCTGCTTCGCTGGTTGTTATAGACTCCTCGGCTGCCCACAACAGTGCCTCGGCCTCTGAAAGTGAACTCTCTGAAGCCTCTCCCACGCCCACGCCCTTGACCTCTCCCACCAAAGGCTTGTTCCTCATCAATAAAGATCCAGTTGTTTCTTTTTGTAGGAGGGATATCACCAGACTCTCTGGAGAGCTTGTTCTCCCAGCTTTTTTCTGGCTTCTCTTCCTCCTCCTCTTCCTCTTCAGATTTCTCAGCCTCTTGGGCAAGGCTGGCCTGGGAAGAACCTTTGTCATCCAGCAGGTAACGCGTGGAGCTCAGTACGGCTGCAGAGTCATCTGACTCATTTTCTACTTTCTGAACAGCTGCCTTCTCCTTCAGCGGGCGCGAGGTGTCCTCTCCCTCCAGCTTAACCTTCTCCATCTCCTTCTCCTTTTCTTCCACCTTGAGGGCTTTCAGGACTGGTTTTTTAATTGGGCCTGATCGCCGTGTCCTCCCCATTTGCTCCTGGTGCTGACCACTGGTGTTCCGGTTCTCAGGAGCCCACTCTGTTGTCTCTTCAGTGGGCTGTTTGGTATTAGCCCCTTCTTTCTTCCATGGATCAGCACTGAATGACTGCTCATCCCTGGGCACTTCTTCAGCAACCTCCGCTGCAGTCTCCGATGGTTTCTGATGGTGGCCGATATCCCAGCCATTATATTCAGGCTTCTTCTCTGCTTGGATAAAATCAGGCTCCAGGGGCGAACACCTCAAGTTTGCATGGCGATTGCTAGAAGGACAGGTTTCCTGCACAGTCTCCTGATGCTGAAACAAGAGATCTTGGCCTATCCTCTGAGAAGACAGGCAGCTGTCAAAGTCTGCTTGGGCCTTCTTGTCAAAAGCATTCAAATACTCCTCCCCTCTCTCCTCAAAGAGATCTCGCTGGGTGCTCAGACTCTCTGGCCTTCCAGGAGAAGCACAGTAACTGTCATTCCTGAGACAGAAACAAACAACAAACAAAAGTAAGTCAACTAATGCAGAGCACAGCACAGTCTCCAAGGGCCCAGGCTGGGCACAAGAGGCAGAAACAAATAAATAAATTGGGGTTTGTTCTAAATCATGAGGCAGTGAGCCTATAAATACCTGAATGTTGGGCAGATCTGCTGTGGCCCCAGTCTGTACTGCCTAGTTTGTCAAATCAATGGATGATAAAGAAAGCAGTTCCTATGATGGGCAGCAAACTTAAGAAATAAAGGGATATTCAGCCTCCAACATATATGGAGATCTGAAAACAAGGACTTGGTTTCAGAAAGTCTCAAAGAATTAGGAGACAAACTAGAATTTTTTGACTCATTGTTTTCTCTACCTACCCATGTAGGTGATAAGTGCCTCTCTCCTACTGAGCAGGCTCCAAACTGGTCAGCTTAGACTGGCATCAGATAGAAAAACTCCGAATAGCTCAGTCTGTAAGCACCTCCATGACATAAACACTCAACAATGTAAAGGTGCTACCAGACTAGTAACTTGGACTGTTCAGAGACATCTTTTGGGTCAACTCTACACCTGTTTTTCAGTAGGAGATGACTTACAGCAGCACCTCCCCTCACAGCACACATGAGGACAGGAGTTCTGCACTCACCTGGCATGCAGCCCCTCCATGTTCATGTTGTCAGCCTGTTTTTGATGCGACAGGGAGTACCCTTTGCTCTGCAGAGATGTGTAGCTCTCCTGGCCCCACACTGGAACAGGGTCCAAGGGAGCAGTTTTCCTTTCCACGTGCCCTGCCTGACAGTTCTGATCTTCAGACCGACAGCTGCTCCCACCGATGGAGTCCTGCTGA